ACCGTACGTACGTAGTAGTTAGACCGAAACGAAACGAACGTAAGTAATATATACTACTATACTACTACTACTATATATATATATATATATATATATATATATATATATATATAAATTGTTTAACAAATAAAGAAACAATAAAAAGCACACCTAGCTATAAACAACATCAAAAGTCCAAAAATGTTATAAAAAAAAGATGGAATTTGGAAAGAATTGATTTATAGCTGGAAACAATTAAAAAAAATTTAGAAAAGAGGAATAGCAAAATATATCATATGATAAGAAGAGAAATGACACTATGAGACCCTCCCACACCCACGTGAGTAGGATCCCAAAGGATCACCATTAAGTTTGACACAGATATCTATAAAAGTTATCACATGGGAGTGGGACTTGACTTTTCTAGTGATCTATGCCAAATTTGATGGTGATCATTTGGGGTCCTACTGACATGGGTATGGGAGGGTCTCATAGGATCATTACTCTGATAAAAATATTCACAATTTATCATAAAAAATGAAAAATATATATAAAGCATTTTTACATTGATTTTGAAGAAAATGTAGTTTTTATGATTTTTTTAATGAGTACTTTTAATACTTGAGAACTCGCTCGGCAAGGTGCCATGTACGGTCTACTCAGCCGAGATTTAAAACCATAATTATCTTATGGATGAGTCATCTAGTTAAGTTTTTCATCTTGTCCTTTCTTTGGTCTGACTTGTGAGACGTTTAACTGGTGCCACACTCATCTCAAAAATACCTGAAAAATTGGTTCCAATATTCAATTATAACAGTGAAACTCAAAAGAACTCTCTCTCTCTGTCTCTCTCCATGGCAAGGCCAGTAATGCTAGGTAGATAACTTAGGATCTTAGTTCCAACTCACAGGATGGTTAGACCCCAATATGACTCTGGCATTTCCCCTGAGTAAGTTATATATGCCATGAGAGAGAGAGAGAGAGAGAGAGAGATTAGTGTATGTTTATAATTAGAACAATTGTTTCATGCTGGCTGGACTGCATTTCTACAATGTGCGGTTCAGAGGTATAAAGCATTCATCTTAAAGATGGATGCAAATAGGTGGTCCATCTAAAAACAATTGTAACTAACGGTCCAAGTGTTTTTTTAATATAATTATTATTTTTAGTTTTTAAAATTTATTTTATTTTTTATAATCATGATCTCCATGTTAAAGATTACATATTCTCTAAAAATTAGGATCAAATTATATTTAAAAAATATATTTATTGTCAAGCCCGCATTTCAACAATATGTGGTGCTGCCCGCATGCTAACCATGTCCGTATAATTATACGGTTAATTATTCAGATAAGGAAGGCTTGCGCAGACCAGGTATACCTCTTACTGCTCCAAAATGGATCACAAATGATGGAGGAAGACAAGTTAGATGAGGCCCTTACTATCATCCTTGAAACTTGTTGGGAGGGTGGGCTTGAAGAAGCCAAGCTTCAACGGCTAAGATTCTCCGAGATCGCCCATTTACAGGATCAGACTGTCGAGGTTGAACCCAGGAAGAAAGTGGACAAGGCTGAGAAAATGGCGATGCTGGATGAGAATGAGTCATATTCTTCTTTAGTTGGCTCTACTGGGTTCTAAATCTGCACATTGTGCCAGTTGGAAGGATCGACGGTATTGATTTTCCGATGGTCAGCAGCCTTAAGATTTGGGTCGTCTGTCTGGTAGGTCTGATGAATGATGGGCCTGTTGTTTCTGATGGGTAATGTGGTTTTTGATCCTAGGCTATGAAACTCTCCTTTTGTTGTTTGTGTTTGTTTAATTCTTTTTATTGACTTTGTATTATGGAGTGCGGGTGGAAGATTGGATGAACGGATGGAGGATGCAGATATTTCTCTGTTGTCATCCCTTCTTGATTCAGAAACCTGTAAGGTAAGATGAGAGAGAGAGAGAGAGAGAGAGAGAGAGTTAGTTGCTGCTACCTCATGAAAACAGAGGCGCTTTGCATGCATTTTGTGGCTTACTGCCTGTATCACGTCTTAATTTTATAAGGGAAATTAATCAAACTAACTGTAACATATGGACTATACATTTTATCCTACTCCATCTTATTGTCAACCGCCATGTCTTGATTTGTTTTTTGGAAATTTATCAAATCACTCGATAGCGATTGACAAACAGACCATTTACTTGTTGATATTCAATGCTAATTATTGGGAAAGCATACAAAGAGCCCATTTTTTAAAAAAAAAACGGCTTGTTGACTGGATCATCCATCTTGAAAATTAGGTGGTGGATTGACGATTTGGATCGGAAAATTAGCTGATCGGCAGGATTCAGCCTTGAAACAATTTACAAAAAAAACCAATTTTTTTTTTAAATCTTTCTTTTTTGGGGTTTTTTCAAAAAAATAATAGTATTGAATTATAGTTTTAATTGTTTTATGGAAAATACGTAAATATTGAAAATTTCTCTTGTCAGATTATTCGTGGTTCATTAATATCTCCTCAGTCAATAATTCATTTCGCTATCAATAAATATGTGACACCCCGTTCGACTCTAGAATTATTTCTTGTGCAATCTGAATCAATTCAAAATATATAAAGAATATATTCTTGTGATATTTTATATTTGGGCATGTTACTATTCTCCTTTGGGAGAGTAGTTTACTTCTACTCACACGGCTAAACTACTTATTTGGGAGGATTTTTTCAATCTGAAATTTTATAGAAAATCATTCTTAAAAAAAAAAATTTAATTTTTTTTAGCACTTGGATGGTTTCTATTTTTATAATTGCATGGATAGTACAATTAGAAATTTTTTATTGATTTTAATCTATGAAGAAGTCATATTCCAAAAAGTTGAGGTTCTAAAATTAACCTTAGGTAGGGGCTTAAGCACACAGGAATGGGTGCCTCAACCATAAGAGGACGGGTGTGCACCCCACGGTGGCATTAAATTATATAATAAAAAATGAGGAAAAGAGTTAGAAAGTAATTTTTAGGGCGATGGCCCATCGCTATTACGGTTGACGAAAAAAAGTTTAATGTTTTTTTAATTCCTCTTCTTACAGAAAAGTTTTAATTTATTTTTTAAATCATCTCAACCAATAAAATTTAATTTATTTATTTTTTAAAAATTGGTTGGTTCACATAGAACCATCTGATTTTTTGATAGAATCAGGCATTCGTTTGTCATAGAATTCGTTGGTCAATAGGGAGAATCGGTCAGTTCGACATATTTTAAAGGATCCAGATCAACTTAACTGATTTCTGATTTGGATAAGTCGGTTTCGATATAAATTACTTATTTTTTAAACACTCATTTTAATACATTGGTCACAATTATTTTTGTCTATCATATTTTAAATAAGATGGTTGTGAGTGTACCATTAATTAAGCCCAAGTTCAAATGTTTTTTTTCTAGAACTATGACACACTCAAGCCATCCACTTTGATATCTAATGGCTGGTGTCAATTGTGACATCTTTGTATAAAAAATAAATAACTTTATATTATACAATATTATATTAAATAATACCAAAAAAAGAGAAAAAATGGTTGATTTGATCAATGTAAAAAAACACATTTGTCTCTTTCAGAAAGGGGTTGAGGTGGTGGTGGTAGCATCCTACCCAATCACCACATTATGGGTTCCATTCTTTCCACTAACAAACCATATTCCTTCCACTAACACCATGTTATTAACACCTTCAAAAATCAAATTCCTAATCTATTTAGAAACAAAAAACAGGTAGGGCCTGAATTGCCTCAAAAAAAACAAAAAAACCCCTTAATGCTCATGCAACAAAAAAAACCCCTTGGCCTATTTGGCGGTGTCATATGAGTTCCCCAACACTTTTTTCTTGTGAATCAGATATTTCCCTCTTTCTAAAACCATAATCCTAAATAACCCATCAGATTTTATAGGAAGAAAATGGATGTTTGCCTCTATTACCTTGGCAATGAAGTTCATCAGATGAGAGAGACAACGAGGGTTCAAGGTAGGGGGAAAGAGAGGGGAGTGGATGAGGTGAAGAAGAGAAAAAAAAGTGGGGAAGATTTTCTTGGGTTTCGATCAAGGGATTATTAGAAGAAATAAAAATGATAAACATCATCATCATCATTAGAACTTTATCCAAAATGTTTGGGGTCGGCTACATGAATCATGTTATGTCATTATGCTATAGCAAGAGTCATACCCTCAATACGACCATAAATCCTCTTATCTTTTGAGAATAATTTTGGCAATAAAAAAAGTGTAAAAGGGGTTAAATATCTTTTTTTTTTTTACTTAGCGGGGGATCTTCCATAAACTAGAGGAATATTTGGGATTATGATTTTAGAGATGGGGCATACATATTTTTTTTCCTTTTTTGGCCAATGAGAAACCAAATTGTTAATTTAAGGCTAGTTGGGATGAAAATGCCCAACAAGGTAGAAGACTCAATTCAAAACATACCAAATGACAAACTTGTTTCTCACTTACTAAAAAAACCCCAAATCCATCCCCTCTTTTTACCATTCAATATGATATCAAGACCTAGTTTTCTCCATAGTAAAAAAACATGTCAAAACAAACATTTGATAAGTTTTGTTCAGTTTTGATGGGTTCAACCAATCAAATAAACTAGGTAACCTTTTTTTTTTCCTAAAATATTACTTATTTTTGAATAATTGTATATGTTTTTCATGTATATTTTTGAAATCGCATCCAATCGATTCGACTAACAATCTGATCAGTTTTAATTGGATCAAACATTTCATTGGTTTTGTGGGCTGCTCCACCATGTTAGCATCTTCCGAAAGCTTGTATGATTCCTTTGTTTGGTTTTTTCCGTAGGCTTACTTCAATTGGGGGTAGGAAGGTTGGCTTCTCCTTTCATGAACCCGTTCTTGGCCTAACCGCCAATTTTTCCCCTTGATACGTCCGTTTAACATTTAGGAAAATGTTTTGATAGGCTGCAGCTCTATCAAAATAAGTAAAGACTCACCTAAAACTCAATGAAAATTGCAATTCTAATGTCATAAAACCTTCAAATCGATCATCTCGGCCTTGACTATTATAGTTATGAGAAAAATCAAGATTTCAGGCCCTAAAATTAATGTACATTGTAACCAGTGATTTAAGAAATATAGAGTCGACATGGAATTGCCTGATCCGACTCAGGAATCGGTCGCCCCAATCTGGTTCTGCATATATTTAGGAAAACGATTGATTCTAGAAGGGAACCGATGGTTCTAATATAGTAAAACAACAATTCTCTACAGTAAAACGGTGATCAGGAATGCCGATTCACCAATCCGGACTGGTTTTTTGGACAATTAAGTGGTTTTTCGCGTTTTTCGCCGGTTCACTATTTTTTCTGTACAGTAAAACAACAATCAGATAGACGATTCACCGATCTAGATTAGTTTTTGAGGTGCCCTATTCAAGCCACTGATCTGTTTTTTAAATTACTGATTGTAACACCTTATCTAGAATATCCATTTTGCCCTGAAAATAAGTGTTTATGGATCAACAAGGTCTGTACTAATTTTTTAGCTTTAAATTTTATAGTTCGCAATTGATTTTAGGACCATAAAGGACATTTCAAATGTGCAAAGTGCTTTAGAGACGAGAATTTGACTTTGATAAAGCTCCGACCTTATGGACCGCATTCTAACACTGATTGCCATTATGAAAACGCAGTGTACGATATGGTTTTTAAAGTTTCGATAGCTCTGCATGCGGTCGTACTTGGGTGTATAGATAGATGCACTTTGAATGTGAACTGAAAAACTGCAAGAGGGGATTTACCAAGTGGGAGAGATAACCAGGAAGAGGGGTTAAAGGGGGACCATTATTGATTATCAGGGTTCACAGATCCTATTTAATATGGAGAGAGACATAGTGGGGGAGTAATACTGATTGTTAATGGCTTCTGTGATAGCTAAGAGAGAAGGCTTTTTCTATTTAATGTGCGTGAGAAGGGAGAGGAAGGGGGGAGAGCATTTTATATAAGGAATATAGAAAAGGTTAGAATCGGTTGTGATGGGTCTCTTTATAAAAAAATTTTTATTATTTTTTATATATAAAGATTATTTTAATAGGTAGTGTAATTATTAAGTAAAGATAAATTAATTTTTTATTTTAAAAGTACATTGATATGAAACAGTATTTGTAAAATACCTTTATTATTTGGTAGGAATTTAAACTTTCTTTCTTTATGCAAATGATAAAAAGTATGGTATTTAGTACATTTTAACTTGAAGAACAAGATACCACAAAAAACAAATTTTTTTAATAAAAAACCATATAATTAGCAAATCTACAGTTCGCAACTCATTTTATCATTAACCTATGTATTATGAAGGGTTGTGAATTGTAGATTATCCCTTTTTTGGTTTGTGAAAAAATCATGTACACCATTCTCTCAATTTAAGACTATTTCTTAGGCTTCCAAATAGGCTATGTGACCGATTCATCCCGGGGGATCAATCTTTGAGAACAGAAAATTTTCCTTTGAATAAATATAACTAATTGCATAGAGATCAGATAGTCATGTATAAGTATTTAAGAATTATTTTTTTGAAATAGTCATTTGGTAATTAACCAGTGGATCCGAACTTTCATATCTAAAAAGCCCCCCTTAAAAACATGTTATGCGGACCCCTTTTTCTATTGAATGTGTACTACAAGAGAAACCAGAAGTTTTGAATAATATGGTTCTTATTGCAAACTTATATCCAAAAAAAAAAAAGGTATTTATTGCAAGAGGATAAAATTCCACAACTCCTTTTGGAAATTAGGTGCCTATGGCTATAAATAGATCAGCATTTTAGATCCATCAATCATAGGACTAAACACCTATAAACATTTATGGCTTGTACATTTTGTGATACTTTATTTTAGTGCCCAAAAATAATATTCCAAATCTATCATATGTTTTCCATTGCGTGTTGGATAAGTCCTATATTTTAGAGTGTATGACTTTGATCCATTATAATGTTTTTATGAGTCGACCAACTCATCTATTTATACGAATCCTCCCTCTGAAAATTCGTTTTAAAGATAGATTTTGAATCATCCGAAAATTCTAGGGATTGACAATCTATACCATAGCGAAACATAAATATATTAAAAAAAAATGTAACTTTAACAAGAAATAATAGTATTTTTTATACATTTTTTTAGGTTGTTGATTTGTGGGTTTTGGTGGGATGGCTACCTTTCTGCATCCATCTCTAAGATGGATGTTAGATGCATAAAAGGGAATCATGTACAAAAATGAATCAATTATTTAAGTGGGACAAAAATCTAATTTTTCACTTGATTATTCATTTATATGTTAAAAATATGGGTGTGGTTTGTAGAAGGTTGCAACCTTAAACAATTAAAGGAAGGTGCACCTTCAAACCTTGTCATGAGATGTAATTTTGACGTCGAAAATTCTTAAAAGGGTGCAAGAATCTATTTTTATCTTTAATTATAAAAATTTAAACTCTAAAAATGGTTCAAATCAATCAGATCTATAAACACATAAATTTTTTGAAAATAGATGGTCTAATAATATATTGCAAGATATACTATTTTAAACAATTAAAATATCTTTTCTTCTACATATTTATACATCTTGACGTCGAGAGATGATCAATTGAACATTTTACCAACATCAAAACAACCTTTTTTCTTCTTTTTTTTGAGAATTTTAAAAGTACACTTTATTTTATATTTTAAAGTGGTCAACCTTATACAAAGTATTTCCTAGAAAGACAGTATGGTGATGCCGACCTGCCACTAACATGGCCTAGCCCCCAATAAAACATTGCCAGGGGGATCATTTTTATCAGCAAATTTCTCTCCTGCTTCACTTATAAACAATTTTCTTTTTTAAAGAAACACGTCTTTTAATACTTAAATAGACAATGGTTTAGAGTTATTGACCTTGAGGGAAATGGACTTGGATCATTACTTCATTAAAAATTCAAATTATATATATATATATATACATTTTTTTTTTTTGATAGAATTGATCTTGAGGAGGTTAAGGAATCTGGAGATTTTATTTGTAAAAAAAAGAATGTGGTGTTTTTCAAATATCTATATAGAAATTCATCACCTAACAATAACACCAATACGTGGCCCTTTGTAATACTTAATATGAATTATTAATCTGGTGTTTTTCAAATTTCTATATAGAAATTCATCACCTAACAGTAACATTAACACGTGGCCGTTTGCCAATATCAAATTATAAATTATTAATAGCGCCAATATCAAATTATAAATTATTAATAGCGACCACCAAAACCACGTCGTTAAGTCTCGAGCCTTGAATAAAAAACCATTCGGACAATACGGCTTAATATGAGACAACAACAAATGCCAAAATATATTTTACTCCCGTGGGAGTATAGTGCTCATTTACTCCCTCAACTAAATCTCTATCTTGAGGTTCTCAAATCTTGGGGATGTAACCTTTTCATCGAGGGATTAACCTCAATAATTTTTTTGACTAAGGGTGCGGTTTGTATTAGACTGAGACTTTAAACAATTAAAATAAGGCGCACCTTTAAATAGTATCGACGAATATAGTTTCAATACTGGAAATCTTTGTAATAGCTTTAAATTTTATTTTCATCTATAATTATAAAATTTAAAGCTTCAAAAAATTATATAGATCTAACATATCTATAAAAACTTAGAAATATCGAAAATTGACAGTCAAAAATTACATTACAAGATGCTCTATTTTCAAAAACTTGAAATCTATTTTTACTTAATGTCTACTCATCTTGAGGTCGAGATGATCAATTTGAGGATTTTTGAGCATCAAAACAACCTCTTCTAGTGAAATTTTTTCGGTGTGCCTTAATTTGATTGTTTAGAGCCTCGTACTTATATAAACGTTTTTTTTTGTTTTTAATTGTACCCTCTATACACATAAAAAAAACAAAAAAAAATTTGAGATTGAATTGATACAATCCAATTTTTAGATGGTGAGATCTCCAGGTTAGACCTCAAATTTCAAATTGTTTTGACGAGAATAATAATCGAGTGGTTTTTAAGTGGTTCCCAAAATTTCAAATTGAAAAAATCATCCGAGATCTTTCAAACCAAGGAAGTAGAAGTAAACTGTGCTCCCGAGGGAGCATAGTTGCGCGACAGAGGGGTGTTATCGTTATTCCATGAGAAACCAGGGGCATAGTACACTCATACGTTCCCAAAAAGTAGGGGCATATCAGGAAATTTGGACCCGTAAATTATGGAGCGTTCACTTGCAAACCGACAACTATTTAAACGACCGAAATTCACATCGTTTTCTGCAAAAATGAAATAAATGTGAAGACACGGTGATTTAAAACTTTAAACCCCAAAAGAACCCTAGATTTATATTCAAAAGTTCTTTTCTAAGAGTATTTGAAGGGTTTTGATCTGGTTTTATTTTATAAGCTTGCCATTGTGAGGTCTATATAAAGCTTTTATCTTCTAAAACTGTCCACCACAAACTTTTTAAACTTTACCTTTGATTTTAGGATTCATATGCCCAGCATTGGAAGATTTTGTGTTTTTTTTGGTTTGAAATCTTACGATTAGAACGTATTTGAAACTTTTCTTTGGTTTTGTTTTCAGAGGCTTTCTGTTGCAGTGGTGATTGATGCTTTTCTCTGTATATTTGGGAGCTCGTACTGTGAGGCGTTTGAAGTTTTGAGGTGGTTTAACTTCGTTATCTATCCTTGATCTAGTATGTGAAGCTTTAATCTGGTTTGTTAGCTTTGGAATAGAAGGTGTTTAAAGCTCACATCTTGTTTTATCTTCAGTAGCTCTGTACTGTAAGGAATTGAATCAGATTATGAAATGTTCACTGTTTATTGAACAATGGGAGTTCCTTGACTGCTTTGCCACAAATGTTTTTTGAAAGAAACATTGGAAGCAACAAAAATGTAGAAGGCTTGTTTGATTCCCTTTTAAGAGTTCATGTTATTGTTGGGTGACATGACTTTTCAAGAATCTAATTTAGGAATGAAGGATATGTCAAGAAACAATGAAACTTTATAATAATGTTAGCAACAATAGAAAAAATGAATTGTCTGTAATGAGTTTACAAGAATTTTGAAGCGTTTATGGTTATGCAGTTTTTTGCTGAACGTTAAGTTGCATGTAGCTAGGGAATTTTCATGTCATTTTAGTTGTTATTCTGATCTAAAGGTCTCATTAAACCGGGCCTTTTTGGAAACTACTGCAACAAAAGCCATCTGGTACTTTCTTCACCTTCCAATATTTTTTCCAAACAAGAAAAGATGGTTTTTCTTAGTTTAAAGCTTATTAGAAGCTTCATTGTTTCTTTGATGTTCTGAGCAAATTGCTTGATTATTCTTCCTGTTTTACCAATATTTTTGTCAGCAGCTTGTTTAATCATATGTTCTTTTCTTCACATTTGCAATTTATGTACTTACAGATCAAAACAAATACCCCTGTACTTTATTTGTGATATGTGTGGAGTGATCACTTTATGTAGTTCTCTATTTTTCAGACATATATGAGAAAATTTCAAATTTCCGTTTTTTTTGTGCGTGTGTGTGTTCTTTGTTCAAGAAAAGCATTCCTTTCCATTGAAAATTCAAAGTCCTTGGATCTTCTTTATTCTCATATATTCTTATTTTGACACAGAGATGATTCTATGCACCATTAGTGAATTGCCAATGCCCTAAGAGCCTTTCTATCATTATGAAGTCTTCTCGTATAAATCAGACGTACAATTTGAGAGATGTATATACTGTTCTATTATGGGTGGGTATTCTGGTTTTTGCTCTGGGCACCATTTTGAGCCAATACTTTTCTACATTCAACCAGTTTACTTCAGAAGCAGGCAAACTTGGCAAACCTACTGGAAATTTCTCCACCGAAGTTTCAGTGCAAAACATTTCAGGGGACACTATGCTTAAGAATGAGCTCCCGAGTGAAGCAATTGACATTGATACACCAGTAATTCGACCACATAATTTGAACCAGACAATTGAACCTCTTGTTTTGGCACCAGTTGTTGCATCAAATGAATCGGAAGGATCTGAATCAAAAGATTCACATGGCAAAGGGGCAGGGATGGTTTTGCCTCTTATTGCAAGTACTACGGCTAAAAATAACCCAGTTACTGATGCTTCAGCACCGTATGCAAAGGACCCAGCTCTGGCGCCTTCTTTCTTATTAGATAAGAAAGAGTTTCTTTCTTATCAGATAAATATCTCTAGCCCTGCTCCGGCGCCTTCTTTAGTTAGAAAACAAGTATGTTTTAAAATCCTTACCTCCTCTCAATAGGGTGTACTGTTTTGATATATTTTGCTTTCTTGCTGGTTTACCAGTAATATGAATGTGCACAAACATGAATCTAATCATAGTACAAAATAACATATTTTGTGCAGTGGGAAAGTGTACTATAGTCCATCGGAATCATTGTTGTCCGATAAAATAAAGAATGGTGATGGAGAGAACAAGTTACCCTCACCATTTGGGTCCATTTCTGGTTATGCCCACTCTCTCACCATTACCCTATGAACCATTGCATTGGATGGTGATGTTCCAGATGGACAATGGTTTTTTATAGTCTATTGGATTATAATATACATTCCATAGAATAATTTTTATCTGTTTCGGTCACACCAGCTTCATATCAGTGAATGCGTGCTCCTTCCCTATGGTAAAAGAAAAATATTAATGTATACGTGCTCTTATCCTATGGTTACAGTAAACATATAGAGGCTTGGCTTGCTATTAGTCGTTAATTATGAATGTTTCTGAGAAGCTCTTCTTTACTTATTACAATTAGCTCTTAAACCCCCCCCCCCCCATTTTCTTCCATTTTCTTTAGTATAGGTCATCCATGTGCCATAGAGTCGGACCCTAGGTTTTCTTAAGCCTCTTATGTTGTTCATGCTAGTCTAGGGTCCTTGGGTTAACCCTCAAGGTCATTGCGATGGAAACATGTACAAATAAATTTTTCTCCTAATTTTTCAAGGTGCTCATTTCTTATTTTTAAAATAAGAAAATAAGAGTTTTTATATTTTCTAATTTAGATTTTTTTGTTGGAAATAGCCTGCAAAGTTGCTTATTTCCTTGTGACAAAAAACTTTCTAATTTCTTTTTTTGGACTTTGTAGGAAACCAAAGTGCTTGACAAACTGGACACTGTTCTGGAGAGAACTGCAGATAAGAACAAAACAGTGATCATCACTGCTCTAAATGGGGCCTGGGCAGAAGAGAATACCATGATTGATCTCTTTTTGGAGAGCTTTCATATTGGTGAGGGTACAGAGATACTTTTAAATCATCTTCTTATTGTTGCTTTGGATGCAAAGGCATATAAACGTTGCTTGAAGATCCATCATAACTGTTACACTTTGAGAACCCGGGGTATTGATTTCACGGCTGAGAAAGTATACATGAGTGAAGATTATCTTAAAATGATGTGGAGGAGATTAGGATTCCTTGGGGATATATTACGCCGTGGTTATAGCTTTGTTTTCTCTGTAAGTTATAGCATTTAGTATCTTTTTCTCTGCATCAGTGCACCATTTTTGCCAGAATTCTTAAATTTAAAGGTTTAGACAATAAAAAAGGTAAATTTTTCAAAAGACCCAGTAGAGATGAACTATTTAACATGTTGCCCATTTGTAACTATTCCAACTCACGACCACCTTTATTTTTTATGGGTATTTTGAAATTTAATCAAAAGATACTGGTAAAGTGTTAAATTAGGTCTCCAAAGTGTACACACCTTGCTAAAAGTGTTAAATTAAGTCTATGATAGGATAATTCGATAAATTTTCCAAAAAAAAAATAATTCTTATTGAACTTTTCCTTCTGCCCTTTTCCATCTCTCCTGTACACACCTTGCTAGAAGCACTGGACCAACTCCAGTTGTACCAGACAGAAGATTTCATCTCTACATCTCTTTATACAGTTCAAGATTTTTTTTTTAAAGTATCAAAATAAAAGGAGTCCTTTTCTTAATCGATTAGCAGAAGTAAATGGGGAATTAAGAATTGTGTTCTTTCGTTTCAATTTACAGGATGCTGATATCATGTGGCTACGAAACCCATTTTGGAGATTCTCTCCAGATGCCGACATCCAAATTGCTAGTGATATGTTTAATGGCAACCCTGAGGACGTCTCCAACTTGCCCAATGGTGGATTCAAATTTGTGCGCTCGAATGAACGTACCATCGCCTTCTATAAGTATTGGTATATGTCTAGATACCTTTACCCAGGCGAAAATGAACAAACGGTTCTTAATATAGTTAAGATGAAGAGTAGCTTTGGGAGGAGAAACATGAAGTTTTTGTTCATGGATACTAAGTATTTTGGTGGGTATTGTGAGAGGAGTCAATACTTGGCTGATGTTTATACCATGCATGCTAACTGTTGCAAAGGCCTTAGAGCAAAGCTTGTTGATCTCAGGGTGACTTTGGATGAGTGGAAGGCATATAAGAGTAACTTTACTGAGGGTGCAAGTTGGTCCCCCCCAAAGGCTTGCCCTCTGTCATGGTCAGTCCCTCCTTAAGGCCTGCCGCACGCATGGTAAGCCTTGTGGTTGTATTTTTATATATTTTAACTATTTGTATTGCTCGTCTTTAAAATAAGAAAAGCAGTTTTCTTTTTGTTGATTTTGTACTTTATGCCCTGTTAGATGGAAAATTTGGAATGTCTCATTGAAATAGATTTTTTTATTTCAGGCCAGTCTTGCATCTAGCTTTTAAAATCTCACTGACAAATATCTCAAATAAATTGTCGACTTATTCCAAAGAAAAAAAAACTCCAATAAATTTATTTTAACCTAATGTTGTCACGATCAGTTTCAGACTGGTTTTAATCCTAGCACTAACTATTAAAAAAAAAAAAATGTGTAAAAGCTACTACATTGGATTGTGCACTTTGTTATTTTAAATTTCAATCATATTAACTTATTTTAATAAGAAATTATTCCATAATAACAATATGAGTCCCAGTGGATATCCTATAATTTCCCAATAAATGAGATAAATTCTGTAATATTACTATAGTACTCCCTCCAATAATATCGTGATAATGATAATGTGTCACTAAGGTTAAAACTTGTCTTTCATACCAGATAAATATTGACTGACCATGCAATTATTTGTGTCGTGAGTTTTCGAACTATTAACGAGTTTTGGACATATTACCAAGACTCTGGATCGTTCATTGATTTCTTGATTGAGTTAAGTCAGCCACATTTTAAGAAACTTTGGATTATATTTGAGCTTTTATATTCACCTCATTCGAAACGTTTGGCTTTTTGGTTATTTAGTATTAGAAAGAAGCATTATGATTTTTCGATTTCCTATGTTCCCAAAATTGGAATTTACATATCATGATGTGCTTGGGTGGGAATAACAGTGTCTTATGGGCACTCGATTGGGGTAAAGACCTCGTCATTTTTTGTGTTAGAGAAACCAAGAAATGGGAAGGCATGCTGTAATCCTGATGATCATGCTAATAATCTATTTGATGTCTTCATTGTCTAATCAATGGGTTGGGCGGTGGAGCGAGACTGGGACATACAATTTAGTCGGTAACATAGATAGGACCTACTCTCTGTTCACCAGCCAGCCCATATGGAGATGAGCCCTACGAAGAGGGTTTCGAGGGTAAAATATTGGAAATAGCCACCATTTAACATACCCGTTACGGCTATTCAATATAGTTAAAAACGTTTGACAATCATATATCATTGATTTTGAGGTTTATAGTAGCTGATATATTTCACACTGGTGCTATGAATTCTGTTATATCCATTTTGTATTTTCTTAAATGTACATTACAACTTATTTCTGGAATATATTAGTGAATAGCATCACTACTTTATCTATTTATTAACTTTTATTATATCTGATACTTTTTAAATAATGCCCATTAAACTATTCTGGTAAAAAACCTAATTACCTTATATTTTCCCATTGTGAACCCTGAAATATCGGCCACATATTCTGCTGGTTTGTTCCCCAACCCCCAGCCCACGTGCCGATATTTTGAATCATACCTATTATTTATTATTTAGTTTTTGAAATTTTGATTATCTAGTTCTTAATCATGAGTGAAGTACCCCTTCCCCTTAAAAATAGTATGGTGCCATTGATGATTTAGTTGTCATCAGCTAACAAAACACTGCTGGGTATTTGTGTTTTATGATATTAATTAATAGATTAATCAAATATAGTATGTGGTCATAAAGCGCTAGTTTTCTTTATGGGAGGGCTTAAGATTGATTCTCTGGGGGAGGGATCATTGTGTGAGTCTCATTTGTGGCCTACAAATATGGGGTTGTGTGGTGCCTACTGTACCAATGCACGATGTAGGTACATGGCATTGTATTTCTGAGTAGAGGGCTCACATTAAAAATGTACACTTTTTGCACTTTGGGGACCCCACTTCCAAATTTTCTAATTTTTCTTGAGATCCTGCTCAACTCGAATGAGCTGTTTGTTGCTTAGGGTGTCCAGGCTGTCCTGCTCAAATCATAAATGTATTCTTGTTGCATCAAATAATAAATTAAAGGGAAAATATTATTTCAGGGATCAAAACCCTTTACAAAATTGTTAAGGGGGACAAACGATCTCAATCGATGTTGGGGGGTTTACTTTGTAACTTTAACTTAGATTTGCTTTATAATTTTAACTTACTTAGGTTCCTCTTCAAAAAAAAATTTAACTTACATATGCTTTATAATTTGAACTTACTTAGACTCCTCTTCAAAAAAATAATTTTAAAAAGCTGAAATTATCTTCAGGGTTGCAAATTTGAGAATAACAGCAATTCAGTAATTTGCCCCCCACCTTGCACAAAGAAGGATACTGCTGTCATTTGGTTGGAGCCTTTTAAGTGCGCCAAATTATAAAAACGCGCTTGCGTGTTTAGGGTTTCCAACTTTGATACATCGTAATATGAGCATTTAAGGATTTTTGTTTTTTGGACGCACTTGTGTGAAATGAAATTTAAATAAACCTTCTAATGTTAATTGAGATGTTTGGAAGTATAAAGAAATGTATACCATAAAGACCATTAATTTTTGGCACAATCATTAACCTTCGTTATATATGAAATTGGGTTGATTGGGGTAATATCATTCCCTCAGCATAAAGTCTAAAATAATGTTTCTCGAATTATGTGACATGTTTTAAGCTATCAGATTGGGTGCAGTTGCAGTTGGCACACGGGCGCCCCCGTAGGTGTACAGGTATGGTGCCCTTCAAATTTTATCATGATATATAATTTTGATGTAAAATGTTATTAGGATTATCTCAAAATCTATTTTTATATCTAATTATAAAATTTTAAATTTCAAAAATGGTTAAAATCAAGTTGATCTATAAACATATGAAAATCTTGAAAATGGATGGTGTAGATAATATGTTGTAAAATGCACTATTTTTTAGACTTAAAATCTTTTTATTTTTCATAGTCATATCAATCAAAGGGTTTTCCAACATTAAAACTACTTTTTCCGATGGATTTTTGAGGGGCATCCGTTGTTCTACATTATAAGGTAGCATCATTATATAAACTTTTTCCTACTAGATTTCACATCTGAGGGCTAGAGCCATAGTGATCTCTATGTACAAAAAATGTATAATCCATACAATCCTCAATAATTTTTCAATCAACAATTGTTTAAATCAATGGTTTAAAAAGCGGATCGATGACTCCGATCGGGCACCTCAAAAATCGATTCGGATCGGTGAATCGGTAATTCGGATCGGGAATCGGCTAAATCGATCAGATTAAAGCTTCAAAAAAATCCAAAAAAATTATTAAAATTCATTATAAATATTGTTTTTTAGGAATTCCATAAGAAATGAGAGTACTCCATTAAGAATTTTTATTTCTTTGTATGAATATGCGAATATTGATATGTTCTTTCCCTGCATGAACTACTATTTACAATTTAATTTACATCACACAAAAGGATAAACATAGAATTATCATGGAATAAGTATATCAACATGCATTGACTACAATAAAGCATACAATTAGTAACATATGATCTAAAAATAAAATGACAGACGACGTCGTTCTTCTTCTTGGTCACGCTGGTGTCATTGATTGAATTCGTTTGACAATTCATTGATTCAATCTAAAAACGAATCATCGATATTAGCAGGCGTTTGACTATACCCAAATCCCTGAGTGTTAGTGTTCTGTTGTGTTCCCAATCCAAAATCCCCAAAGCTTGTCCATCTTTCATGCTCACCTACATTGTCGTGCTCATCCTTACCATGTTGCTGTTGAGACTCGATATGTGAATAATATGGTTGGGATAGGGTGGCCTCAGAATCATCATCTCTCTCATTTTCCCTTAGACCTCCTTCCCACTCTCCCTCATTAGGTGCAATATCACTGACATCTCAGACAAATTATGGATACGTTGGCCGACTGCTTCTTTTTTCATGCTGTTCATCACGTTCTTCAAGATCTTCCTCACCGATAGCTTCAAGAAACGCTCTCTTGTGCAACACTGGCTTCTCCTCTTCTACTACCTATTGGTCTGCTGTGTCTGTGACAAATATTGTGTCTAAGTCTATCGGCCCATAGTCTTCAAGCTTCCTTCTTATTTATCGCTCTCGGAGGTTTAAGTTGTAATGAACGTAGACTAGTTCATGAAGCTTCTCTGAAGCGAGTCGATTTCTCCTAATAGTGTGCAACCATTGGAACGTACTCTAGTTGCGCTCACAGCCAGTAGCAGAACATTTCTGGGAGAGCACCTTGATTGATATCCTCTTTAGGTGAGGTGCATCAATACCATATATCTCTCACCATTCAGCTGGATTAAAATACAAAAAGCATTGTAAGGACAATAACAATTCATAAGATTAAATATATGAATGAAAAAAATATTAGCTAGGGGATAACCTGGATCCATCTTAGTTCGAGAATTCCTAGCAAGTCTAGTTCCGAAGGATCCTATAGCATCCCTATACATAGCAAGCTAAAACAAATATATTTCGTTTTAGTGCATTATTTCTTACAAATATAACAACTCAATGAAGTTCTTACCCAAACATTAAATAATACCTCTTGTATTGCTGTTACTTGGTTTCGATGGCTTCTCTCCAACCTTGCAATAATGTATCTAATCCCTTCTATAATCTTGTAGGGATGTTCAGGTGTCAAATAGAAAAATTTTGGGTTGAAATACTAACCTAGAAAATATATAGATAGAAAAATGTCATTTACAATTTCATAAAAAAATGATTTAAAATGAAACATTCTAATGATATAAATATATATTTACCAGCATAATGAATTGGACGTCCAAATTTGGTGTTCCACCTCTTTTTTATAATCTTGATCACTTTGCTAGCAAAACTACACTTCTCCCCATTAGCTGATTTCGCCCTCTCGATACTTTGATGCCCATGGTAGCTTTCTTGTCAGCATCCACCATTCTTAACACCGTGACCAAAGGGGCAGTGGCCTCTACGGCACTGGAACATCGAGACCAGAACCTCCTATTTGAGACTATGTCATCCACTTTTATACCGGTACTGGACTTCGAGAGGCTATCATTTAACCACTCTTCACAGGTAAACAATCTCTTTAATGCATCTTCAGATTCTTGAATGGAGTCTACAACTAAGTAATTAGTCGC